AAAAAAAAAAAGGAGAAAAATTAGGAAAAAACGGAAACAACTTCAACAGGAACGTAGCTGAAACTCGAAGTTCAACTAAAACGCCATTGCTTTAAAATGCTTCTCAACCCGCCAAATTCTCCCGCGCTTAAACATAGACGGGACCAATGACGTCATGGTCATCTGCTTTTTGCAAGTGTAAACAATTCCTATGCTTCTTGACGCTTCAAATGTCCTATGCTTCTTGACGTTTCAAACACTGCTTCCCTTTCTTGTTTACCGTTTTTGCAGATAATGTACCAGCCTCTTCTCTTTTAATTTATTTCTATTTCGCCTAGAAAAGGTATGGGTTGACAAAAGTGTGTGACGTCAACACCAGTTGCATCAATTATCCCACAGAAACTTCGAAATCAACGCGACCTCCTCCTGATTATTTGGAAAAACGCACTGATTGATCGTATTGACTCTCCAAGTGACGATGCCAAATGACTTACACAAAGCAGTAGTACTGAAAAAGTTTTTCTGTGTTAGCCTTTTGCTACTTTAACAAAAGCTTCCTTCGCTAATCTTTATCACCTCCAGTCACAAATCCCAGCCGGATATCTGAAAAAGATTTAGGAGCAACAAACTTAAATCTAACCTCTCTACAACTGCTGTACCTGGAACAGTTACAAACGTATAGCTCAGATATTCTGGAGAATCCATCAAACAAAGATGTCCGCCTGCCTTTAATTGAGCTGCTTCTTCTAGATCTTAGGTCAAGTAGACGGTGTCATCCTGGGTTAGTAAATTGCGATGCTGCGGAGAAAAATGCACAAAAAAAAGTTCTCTTGAATTCCACTCTATCTATACTGCGGAGTTGTAGCAGAATTTTCGTATAACATGCTTACAGCTTCTTGTTACCCAATTTGACGTTAAGGCCTTAACATAGCTGTTTGACAGCTGCTGTTCTCACCTTTTTTACTCGATCATCTAAAAATTACAGTGGAAGAAACTGTTCTTTTACAATCACCCGAAGAGGCACGAAGAAGACCAAAATTGGCACGGGCTGGAATAATTTCTTATCGCTGAGTAGTGATGCCCTTTTTATTGACCACTTTAACAGTCAGTATATTATAAACCGTTAATGGGTGTCCGGAAGTAAACTTCTTTACTGTGAGCTTTTAATTGTCATGTAACTTGCAACAACTAACACGGGTCCCAACTTTATGGTAGTCTTTGTTGATGAACTGATCTGTCAAACTATCAGTTTTTTACCCATTATTTATAAGAAAATATAGTTAGTGCTGCTTCTGTTGCCCTGTAGTGATCCGCCAGACTTCAATATGCCTTCCTGCTCGCAACAGCTCGCAACAGATACGTTCAGAATCTGAATGGAATAACGGTTATAATAAAAAAAAAAGTTCTGAGCGTATTGAGGCATTGCCCCTCTCATAATCAGTAAATGCAACGCTACTGCCAGCAAAATCTGCTTATCAAAAAATATAAGCAAAGGAATAGGAGTACAAAATTACAAGGAGAATGTTGGTAAAAGTGAATTATGGAATGTTCCTTATTTTCGTCTTTGAATATATTAACAGTATTGAACAAATCGAGGGAAAAATATCGGTGAGAAATAAAAAAATGATCGAAAAATACCAGCACCCGCTTTAAATAACTCTCATTTTCCCAACAGTCGGTATTAATGTGCTTATCAAAAGGTAAACAATAGATTGAGGATGAAAACAAGGCATTGTTGCCCTCTTGGTTTATGTAATTACCATATAATGTTGAATGATGCATAATAAAATATGATCTGATATGATATAATGTAACAAAAAATAAAATAAAATAAAACAATACAAAATAAAGTGAAATAAAACAAACTAAATTAAATCAAATTAAAGTAGAATAAAATAAATTAAATTAAAACAAGATATAATATAATATAATATAATATAATATAATATAATAT